GCTGCTCTTGCAGGGACCATTGTGCCAACCTGTCGCCACAAGCTTCCATCTGTGCCACGAGACTGGAGACAAGACAGCGGTGAAGAGCTTCAGAAAGGTGAGATATATAAAATAGCATCTTTTTGATCCTATCGGAGCTCTGGCCAGAGTTTCCGAGTTACTGTGCCTTAGCAAGAAAACTGAGAAAACTCCCCAAGCCAAGGCCCGAGTGCTTAAGGCTACACAAGCTCATTGCCCAGGCCACTGCTCTTCTGCAACACTCCAAAGCGTAACGGGAGTCTTGAGAAGGAATTGCTCCTCCATACCGACTGTCCTGCACGTGAACCAGCCAGACTGGTTAAAGCTTAATTAAACATTGCCAGAGTGGCTAAATTCTTCTGTAAGTGCAGCTGCAAAACGTTAGCTGTGGGCATTTTTAGACCTTAATTAGTAACACTTGCACTGGAGCACCAAAATCTTTCATGAACGCAGCTGCATTCAATTAATATCACTTGGGCATTTCTGTAGGCAATACAAGGGTCTCCTGAAAACTGTTCTAGTGCCCACCCAGATTTAAAAGAAAAAAAACTTATATACAACAAACTACAAAATCAAAGATAACTACAAAATGTCTTTATTGAAAAAAGCAGATTATAGCATCTAAGGTTAAATGAAACTTCTGACTTTAATATTAAATAACTTAGGATGATAGCAAGTAGCTTCTTCTTTAGATAAATAAATCTACATTTCCCAATTTTTTTCTTCAACAATCAAGGGAATCAAACACTGAAACACAAAACCACAAGTAATTCTAAGGACTAAAAGACAGAAGCACATTGAAAGGTTTTACAAGGATATATATACAAAAATAGTTAAACTAACGTATATTTTCAGCATGTAAACTAGTTACATGATATACAAACTGGGAATTTATATATTTCCTACAAAATAAAAATCAACGTTGGTCCAAGTTCTTGGAAGAAAACTATATTCTTTTAAAGAAAATGAAAATATTTCTCAAATGAAAACTTAATTTAAGTCAAATTATAAACTCTAGTTACGGCATTAGTTACAGGATGAATCACAAACTTTTAAACTTTTCTTGAAACACAAGAAAGCAGCTTTTGTCTCCTTTAGAGCTTTGGTTTACTTAACTACTCTGGAATTTCTGGTCTTAAAGAGCTCCTCTAACCATGTTTTTCTTTTGAAGCTCCACCTTACAAAATATACACACACACGTGCACACAAGTGAAAGGAAAAGGAGAGAAACCCCAACAAACCCAAACCCTCCTTGAAAGCTCAATTATCTGAGTGCATTTTGTTGTTTTCTAATTATTATTTTGGTCCTTTCTTTGGAACGTGTCCTCCAGTGCACGAGGGACTCGGAGTCGCCTACAACAGCTCCGTGCTGTGAGATTCCTTACCGAAATGGAAAGGTGGTTCCTGATGCAAATGAGAACAAGGTGCTATTGTTTTGACTTTATGGAAACCATCTGAAAGTACAGCAAAGGCTTCTGAAGAACAATCACATATAAAATGAACTCTAGAAAGTTTACATCTGTGTTGAACTGATTTAACATAACACTACTCCTTAAGAAAATCATTAAAAGAAGCTTCCTCGTGTACATAATTCCCCAGACAGGAGGCGCAATGTGCAGGAACTCTGCCTAGCACGAAGGATTACAGCACACCGTTGCTTTGGGTGGTGCTTTTAGTTTGCTCTTTGACTGAAAAAACCTGACGAATTCCGCTCAAGCTCCAGTTTTGACAATGACTGCTGGAAAAGCAAAGCTGTCCTTCATTACACAGTAACAGAACACACCTGTCTATGGAAAACGCTGGAACAACAACTGCTGCTTTCTGGTTTTAAACAAACTGCTTGTTCCGTATTGAACCATCACCCTTCAACAGTTTTACCATGGTGATACTTAACGCCGTGGAATGGAGTAGGATGACAGGGGACTGACAGTTAACATGTGAAATGAAATGAAATCTTATTCTGTTCTACGGGATGACCATTTTCCAAAAAAGAAGGAAAGGTATGGTATGTACAGGTTACGTAGTGTGCTGTCTCGTGAAAAGCACGTGGGAGTGGACACCAAGACTGGCCACTGAAGGAGGCAAAGCTCCGCGGAAGCCCCTGGCAGAAGACGGGGCTGAACGCCAGAGTAAGTCACCTCCAGCTCTGGCCACTGGGATTTTGAAGGTTTTGCTGCGATACTGGTGGAGCAAAGCACTTTTCCAGTACAGCGAGTACTGTTACGGGATGACCTGCTCACAGGAACAGACCTACACCTTCTCCGTGTACTTAAACGTTTGTTTTCTTAATCTGGGTTCCTCTAATATCTACTGCAAAGACAAGCAAGTAAAAATGCCTCGGGGCTGAATGTGGTCCAAAGCAGCTTCCATAATGGAACAAGTACTGCGCTGCAGCTGATGCCAAAAGTTTCTCCTGAAGCTCTCGCTGGTCTCTTCCGTGTCTGCAGTAACCTTAAGGAACTGACCCAGTCCCATACTCCCATTTAAGACAAATTTTTTCCCCCTTTTCTAGCACTTGCTGTTTGGGCGAGAGGCCCACGTACTTCCGCTCCCTTCTGGGGCTGGGCCGGTGACCGTGGACCCAGAGGGATCGCTGGCATGGCAAAAAGTGCGCGTGCACCCAGCGGCCTCCCTCCGCAGGCCAGGCCTCCTAGGTGACACTGCAGAAATGGGGCAGGAGCTGCACGGGTATTTCTTCAAAACACCGCTCTCACGCTAACTATGGAAATTATAAACATACATATTAATTAGAAAATGACTTTTTAAAGGAGCATCCGACTTGCCAAGGAGCGTTCAGCAGGACAGGTTAATCTAGGCCAACGGAAGTTTGGCCAAAGTTGAGGAAACACACCTTTTTGTTCCTTACTAACAGAAAAAAACAGTTCACAGGAATTTTTCCTGCTCCCCTTCCCCCTGCCCCCCAAATTCCAGACTATCAAAAACTTCTGTTACGGGAGTTAATTATTCCACTTAGGAATTAGTGTCCACTGGATGCTCTTTGTACTTTTCAAGAGCACCAGAAATGGCTTTCAAAAAATCAACGGAGCATAAGAAACTGCACTGCAGCGGTGTTGCCAAGTAAGTAATTTCACCAGCCTGCGTGCTGAATTTAATGTGGGATCATTTCCGAATGGATCGGTCAGATTCTCGATGTGTTGTGAACCGTCATGGAAATGTCCCAATTTACACATGCGGAGATTCTGGCGTGGTACTTCCACTTCCTCTGGAGCAGCAGAATTTTATTTTATTGTCATTTTGGATACAGCTAAAGACAGCAGTGATGAATTTATTTAAAATAGGATTTCAGGAAGGCTGGATCAATTCTCCTGAGAATGCAAGGAATTTTTTTAACATACAGATGTGTGATTTGCATGTAAATCATCAACACATGGTAGAAAACAAACCATAAAAAAGATTCATCTAACTTCCTATATGGAAGACATATATTTCCCCAGAGCTCTGAGGTTACTGTAAAAGCTTATGCAAAATATGAAAGTGTGTACATTCTATGTACATCTAATACTTCTTATACCAATGTTTCAGTGGCCTGACTCTCTACATTGTTATTTCTGCTAAACTGCCCTTGGTTTTCCAATGAAGACAATCACCGGGATCAGTTCAAAAGCAGATCTAGAAAAGAACACAAAGCTGAAAAGATAATACAAAAACCACTGTCCCCCTCTTCTTTTAATAGCGTATCAACATACAATCATAAAGCAGTTGGTAACAGGTGAAGTCTTGTATAAAACAGGGAGTATAACGACAAATGTACCTTTGCATAGAAAGGGGCTGCTAACCCTATTCAACAAAATAAACAGGTTTAAAAGATGAATTCTTTAGTAAGTGCCAAATCATCAAGTTGATATGAACATGTTTTGAAACCATGGCTACAGTTGTACACGGTGAGCAATTAACAGAGGTCTGTAACTTTCTTCCACTGTTATGACCCTGCGTGTGCCAATCTTCTGGATATATTCCTCTGTTTTTAAGAGAGATGCTTGCCCTATTTCTTTAACAAGCTGAGGAGTCTTTGGATGACCGTGGAACCTGGTAGGAGGGAAAGCTGGCCTCACTCTTCTTCACAGAATGCCATTATTTAACCCATGCTGAAAGCTGTCATTGCTAAAAACACTTGTTTGCTTCCTATTCGCTACTTCTGGGAATCTAACCTTTAAAAAATGTGAGACGGTATTCTCCAAGACCAGAATGAAAAAAACCCACTAGCGAAAATGCTAGCATTTATCTTATCACGCTTGCTGCACGATGATAAGGTGCTAACTTTTGGAAAGTAATTCTGCACTCCTTACTTGGGCAAAACCTCTGCTGAAGGGAAGGGAGTAGGGAGTGCAGAACAGCCCTTTGTACCATTGGTTTTAGAAATGCTGCCACGTACAGTTACAGTTTAGTGGTGAGTTATTTGTTCAAGTAGACGGTGCCTCAGTGAAAACGTTTAGGTGAAAGACTGCGTATGTACAAGAGCAGAGAAGGACCCCTCACCTCCGGTTTAACAATAAATAGCTGGCGTGGATGGTTATTACTGGAATCTCATCTTTAAAGGAACAGGAAAGTCATTTTTAGATTTTTGTCTTCTCTTTGAAACGGCTTCTTGGTAATGGAAACGTCTTTCAGAGTTCCGTGACATGCATCGGATAGCTCGGAGGTGGATGCGATGGCAGTTTAATATTCAGGCGCCTGATGTGACAGCCGTGGCAGAGCAAGTGGCCCTCTAATGGGTAACAACGATGGCCTTCCTCGTCATTGAGCTGCAAGCCACAGTCCTAACAGAAACACGAACATCTCCGATTAGCCAGTGCTTCAGGCAGCTCATCTCACAACGTCATCCCTCCTGCATAACGCCGAGAGCTCCCTCCCATGCCTCCGAAGCCAGCAACCTCTGGAGTTTCTGGCAGGTGGACCCTGGCTGTCTCTTACCAAGCAAAACGACTTCACTGAAACTGCGCAGGACAGTCTGCAGCAGTGCCCAGCATTTTTTTCCTCCAGTGTTTTTCATTCTGGTCGCTTCATCTAACAAATGTTCATGAAACTCAGACAAAACCAGGCCCTGACCCATACGACCTGGAAGAGGTCGGAACAGAGAAGGAGCTTAGTGCTGCAACAAGGCAGCGAGCAAGAAATGGGGGAGCGATGGTAGAGAATAAGAGGCGTGGGGAAGAGGGGCAGAGGAGGCGTGTGTTGCGTCTGAAGCAGAAATACACTTACTCTAATTTGGAATTTTAAAAAATTAACGACTGCAAGGCCAATATGGTCCATCTTTAACGGAAATGTGTCGGTACCTCTGGGATGGGCACCTAACCACAGGGGTGACGTGGGCCAACAGTGGAGGAGCAGCGATAAAACCAGCCACGAGTGACGCTGCCTGCTGGCTGTGCACACTGCAGTAGAGCCAGTCCTGGTTTCCAGCTGCCAACACTGTGCCTCTGAGGACATCTGAAAGTCATGGCAATTCCACCTGACGTTTCAAGTATGATAAATACTTAAAAACTGTTACTGTGACCAGTCCTGACAAACTAGAGATTCTGGTATCTGTGCACTTGATAGAAATGACAGGGAAAAAAAGGGTGACCAAGTCGGGCATATAGGTCATTTGAGTACTGAAAACTGATGCAAAGTTTTTAATGGGACACAAATTAGGTTTTTTTTCAGCTTTCATAGCTCGAGTTCAAATCCTTAAGTTTTACAGTGCTGAAACAGGAATGAAAAATGGGCTTCAAAGTAAGCTTCAGAAGTGGAGTGTTAGTTCAGGGAGGCTTGAATCAAAGTTTCTGCCAAGGTAGTTTTCTGTGTGTTACTGTGTAATAAATTATCGTCCTTTATCTAAGATTTAAAATTAAATTCCTCATGAGAATGTAACAATGTCAGATACTCCGTGTGCCAGGTGTTCATACCTTTTTCCCTCTGCAAAGCTGTATTCCTTTTCTGCAGTGAGAAAGCCTGCCTTCTCAGTGATTTCCCTTTCAGAACGGGGGTCCGCTGACCTGCAAAGAGGCCCGCACTCCCCGGCAGAACCAAGTGGTTGCCCAAGAAAGAGATGATACAGAGAAGCAGCAAAGTTTCCACACTGGTACGGACTGTGTAGGGCCAGCGGGTGACGGCGGCGTGAATGGCCTTCAGACGCAGCTGCGTACGCCGTCACGGCCTTGGCAAAAGTTGTATGAACACCTTGACATACCGACGCTTTTCCGGCGGCACAGGAGACGGCAGTTGCCCACCGTGTATGGTTTGAGACCGTTAGGCTGCACCCTTCCCCAGTGAACACATGGCTAACCCCTGATGCTGTACCCAGATGCACGCTGCCGCTCTGGGCAGGCGCGGAGGCAGCGTGATTCGCCTCAAACTGGAAGGAGAACGGGGAAATGAGTGATGAAACACTGAAAATAAACCCCCATTGGGACATTCTAATATAAAGCCAATAGGCTGAGAGAGAAGGGGAGGGAGCTGTCATCGCAGGTGAAGCCTGCACAAAGCAACAGACGGGGGAAGAAGGAGGAGGGCAGTGCAGCTCTCCAAAACGCTGTCATTTCCCGTGCCAGTTCCTCCTTAAAAATTAATAGAAGAGGGTATCGGGTGTCTGTTGGAAGGAGCCAGAGGAGTGGATGGGGTCTTCCTTACATTTAGGCTCATACACATGTCAAGATACCCTGAATTTTGTTATTTTCTCCCTCAACTGGAGTCTCTTCGTAAAGCCTTTTTGTGCAACAGCGCAGAGAAGACAGTCCTGCTGCATTTCTGCCTCTAGTGCTGAGACAGTTAGGCAGCACCGTGAGGACCTGTGCGGATACGTGCATGTTGGGTCAGGGCGCCAAACCTACAGCAAAAGGGAAGTTTTGGGTTGATCCCAAATTAAAGGGTTTGTTTCCCTCCTCCTGCAGGGCTAGAACTGAACTCAGCTCTCCTTTCGGAAGTGGAGAGCTGAGTCCCACAACTCACTACTAATCCCACAACTAAGTCCCACTAATCCCACAACTTGATCTGCCCAATAAACATTCAGATGTTCTGCACAGAGAGAAACTACTCCCAAAAAAGTGACACAAAGCCAGTGGCATCCCTGTCTCTCTTCCAGTAAAGAATTAATGTTCATTCAGCATGGAAAAAACAGTGTTCCCTGGAAAAGCCTTCCACTGAAGGAGTCGGGGTCCCTCCCTGCACAGGTAGCGTGAATTTGCCTCCTCAGAGCAGAGCCACACAAGCTGCGTCAGGAAAAAGAGAACTCTCTGTTCTCTCCCCATCTGGAAGCACTGAGAAAATTCAGCCCAACCAACCAACCCACCCCAGGTTTTGAAGTTCATATACTGGGATAAAAATAAGCTGATTTGGTAACGGAGATGGCAGCGCTACTTGCAGCCCAGCCGGCCCTCGTCCCTTTGCATCCCGGAGCCGCGGGGCAGAGCCAGGAAGCGCTCCCCAGGC